GTTATGTAGGTCAGAAAGGATCTTGTATTGGGATGGGAAGGCAGTGAAATCTGAAATCTCATGAGGACAGTTCTCATGAACGGTTTAGCTTTTTTCCCTCTGCAGTGACTGGGATTCAGATTAGTTCAGTCTGAGACTTGATCTAAACAACACTATCTCAGTTCTTCAGCGTTTCACAGCATTTTCTTGAAACTCCTATTTCAACCTCCAGTCTTGTAGGGGCATTATTTTGTTATGCTTAAAATGATGAGGGCTTAATGCCTTTCACAAACATTATATATATCCTCTGTTTTCTCCGGCAGATTTTATTATGTAAATAATTTACAATAAACAACATTAAGTAAGTGCAGGACAGAGTATATTGTAATATAGATCTGTAATGAGGGCTGTATTTTGTAAGAAAATAAACTGTTGAGTCATAGAAGCAGAGCTGGGTGAATACTGCAAAAAGTAATTGCAAACATTAATTCAAACCAAAAGCAGGATTTTTGGAGACTAAACAACTCCTTCTGTTTGCATTCTGCAAATACTCATAAACAGCCAAGCTTTTTTTCATAAAAATATCTACATAATGGGTCACACATCATTACACTCCTTGAAATTTTTCCTGGGTCATCTTAAATACTCCTTGTGGGGATTGAAGTCACGTAGAAGGAACAGAAACATAGCTGACTACGCATAACTTCAACTGCAGATTATAAACAGCAAATACTAGCAGTACATTAGCAAGTAGCTTTCAAGTAACTGCTTGCTGAGGATTTCTGAATAATGAACATGTTTGTAAACAAGGAACAAAGTGTGTTCAGGCAATTTGCCAACAGAAAAAGGGGTTCATTTGTCAAATGTGTTTTTAATAGTTCACCCTTCTTTACGTGAGAAAGCAAGTGTCCTAAATCAATACATCAATAAATATAAAATGAAGATATGTTCTCATGAAGAATCAATTACCCAGACTTATTATGTTTCTTTGATTGGCCTCTTCTTAATGAATAGTGTTTAAAGGGGCAGCATGGTTCATAAATTGAATTTGGACAAATTTTGAAAAAAAATTATTTACACGATACTGTTTGGGTCTGTTCCAAAGCTCATTGAAGAGTCTCCCATTGACTTCAATGGTCTTTAGAGCAGATCTTTTACATCCATTTGGCATCTCTCTCAGCTGCGACAGTGAGTGTTAGTGAAGCCAGCTTCTCAATGCTGGGGGCAGCTGTTCTGCAACCATTGTCCTTGAGCACTTGCATTTTGCATCCTTAGTCCATATGAGGCATCCTGACAGTGGGAAAGGACCTTCTGTTCACACTATTGAGCCAGTCAGAATTCTAGACAGGGAAAATGGCTGTTTTGGGGGAATATTGAACTTGTTACTAGCCTGGAACAAATTCACAATGCTAATTCTCATTATGATTATTTTTAGGTTTGGGCTATAAACATAGCTTTAATCTCCTCAGACAAGAATAATTATTCTTCCCAGCTGTCACTAAAAACAGTTTACTTTGACTTGAAATCACTGTTGGCTGCTTCTAAGGCATCATTTTGTCATGGGAGAAGGTGGTGGAGAACTGTAAAAAAAAAATCAGTCACCATCCAACTGCCAGAGAAGAGCACACACTTACCAGTCTCAGGAGAAGTTGTCTTTACAGAAAGAAGCTTGACACCCTCTTTATCTGTGGGGGCTCTGTTTTAATCAGAAGACATTTGACCAAACAGTTAGCATCAGAATTGCATATTTCTCAGTGAAGAAAGTATTAGCAGCATGTCTGTGCTCTAGGGGTACGTCTACACAGCATTATTCCGAAATAGCAATGTGAGTGTCTACACAGCAATTCCGTTAAATCAAAATAAATTCAAAATAATGGATGGCTTATTCTGACTTCTGTAAACCTCATTTCATGAGGAATAAAGTCTGTTCCAAAATAGCTATTTTGGAATAGTAGCCATGTGGACACTTCACTGCTGCTATTTCGAAATAGCTCCCTCCAGCGCCATTCAGAATAATTATTCTCCAGTGCCTCCTGGGGCTCTAAATCTAGGTAGCACGTCCACATTAGGGAAGTCTCAGGAGGCTTCCCTGTAATGTAGATGTGCTATTTTGAAGTAAGCTATTTTGGAGTATTTCTTCTGGAATAGCTTATTTCAAAATAAATACAGTGTAGATGTACCCTAGTGGATTATGTTGTGTTGGGAATCCTTACTGACTTCAGTGGGGCTTTACATGGATGCAAAAGTCTTCTTGTGTCACTCTGATTGCAGGCCCTACACCAACATTTCCCAAAGTGGGTGTGCAGAGGAAAGGGCTAATGGGAGAAGCTGCAGTGGGGCCAGAATGGCAAGTTTCCTTCTCTGCTTCTACAGTGTCTTTAATACACTGTCATGGCCACAGAAGCCACTCAGGCTATGGGTTGAAGAAGCAACTCGCTGGCCAAAACTTCATGGATACATGTCTCAGCCCCATTGACACAACAGTGAATCCTCCAGCCATCCCCCGTAGCATGTCACCTTCTGATGGATCTGTCTCAGTTTTACTCTTTGGCAATGCTTGGACAGTTCATCATGCCCATACAGACTCACTGGCTTGAAGTGAATTAGTGCGTTAGGAAATGCAGAGCAGAGCAACAGGAAGAAAAGAAATTTTAAAAAAATAAAAAGAAAGAAGATAAGAAAAGAAGAAAGATGGGAAAGAGAAGGACGAAGTGTACAGGAAAAAGGAAAGAGGCACACCTGTGTCCTGAAACAAGGCAATTGGGGTAAGGGACACCCAACCACTCATCTATAGCAAAGGGAAAGCCTACATGTTCAGAGCAATATAGGCGCATAGTGAGTCCTAGCTCCCATATTCTTCAATGGTGTTTCCCCCTTTTGGGTATTTTAATGGGTGTTAACAGCTTATTATATTTCAGTGGAGAAAGTTAAAGAGAAGAACCTGCAGAAATTGGTGCCTTCATAAGAGCCACATGACTAGGCTTAAAGGAATGCAAGAGCACAGTTTAACTTACCGTTCAGTTCCATTCTCTTGTCTCTCTGGAAGAAGAAACACATTTATGTTATTCTGATTGCCTAGATGTGAGCTAAATAACAGATTAAAACACAAACACGATTAGCATAAACTCATTATGAGATTTGTGTAGCCCTGCATCAAATATTAATAACACAATAAATAAATAGGAATGTTAATTTACACTTATGCATGGTCAACATGATTTAGAAAGGTGGGCAAGTGTAATTGTTATCCTTTTTTACAGAAACTCAGGAACAAGGATTAAATGACTCACAAAAGGTCACACGAAAAATCCTTGCTCCAAGACTATGAAGCTAAAGGGAACTGCTATCTGGTTTTTCCTGAACAGATTGCTCAGGCTACCCTCCATTCTATCACTGTCTAGGATAGAATAATCCCAGTTTTCATGAGGTTGTTCCAGCTTTTGCAAGCTTCATTTCGCAGTCATGTCATGTTTTGAGCTCACTTTTACTCCAGCTCCCACAGACAGAAAGAGGCCTGCATTTTTTGTTTGTGGCTTTTCATACACCAGTGTTTTCATATTGATCTTAATATCTTTGCATTGGCTGAATAAACAACATCAGAGTACAATCTGATGCAATGGTGTCATTTGAGACACAAAAGATTTCCCCTCCTTTACATATCTGTAACACTCCAAAGTTCCCACGTTGAGTCTCTAGACTTCTAGACCAGAAAAAAGGGCATACCCATATAATGAATGATATATGCCATGTATGCCACATTCTTTATTCTTGTCCTGTGGGTAGGGGATTAAATTAGACATATTTCTACAGCACTAGTTTGAAGAGTGTGGATGTTTAGGTAGAGAGCAAGAGCTAGGCAAATATTTCAAAAGAGATCCACAGATATTCATTACAATTTTAAAATGAATTTGCTTTTATTGAATGTGTAGGGGGGGAAGCCAGAGAAATATTCTTCACTTAAAATCTTCACTCCTTAGCAATGAAGATTCAGTAATTTTTCAGGCAAGAAATCATTTCCTCTCTAAGATTTTTTTGTTTGCATTGTCATTTGCAAAATTTATTACAACATGCAATTTACCTTGGCCTGTAGCATCAAGGTTTTGTTATGACTTCAAATTTCCAGCCCTCAGGAATTCCACAGAGCTCCCAGCTCATAGCAGAGAGACTCACATTATGGATTCACATTTGTGTCCCCTACTTAGTTCTGCATTTGCCTCCAGCCCACTAAGCTCATTCCCCAATGCACTTGGCAAAATTAATGAGCCTCAGTATTTTATGGGCAGTACTGGAATAGGTGGCACTGTTCTGTCCAAAACACTGCTTATTGATGAACATACTGTTTTCCCAGGGATTTTATGTAGACAAGAAAAAATATAAACATGAGGTCACTCCAAAAAAGAGGAAGAATTGATTTTTTTCCTTGTGTTTTGAATTGTGCTAAAATCAACACAGCTGAGTTTAACAACAAATCCCACCTATTTTGCACCTTGCTTTTCCAAGCAATTTTTCTGTGCAGACTAGAGTCATTGACAGTGTCAACACAGCTGTTTAAGTAACTGTTACAGAAGGGGGAGCATTAAATGGATCTGTATGTTCTACAACAGATGTTGTTTCCTCCCCTACTTATAACCCACATTGATCTAAATAAAGAAGTGTTAATTCTTTTTTTGACTAAATATTTTAAAATCAGCAGTGGTTACTTGTCTGAATACAACAACATTTGTAGGTAGGTTAAGTTTCATTATAAACACAAGCCATGTGCCTTTAATAATTAATATTATATTGAAGACTTCCTGGCTGCAGAAAAATGTTGAATAAATACCTGGGGCTCTCCTCTTGCACATCTTGTACAAGGCCACCAGAACGAATACAGAAAGGGTTATTACTATCAAGGCAATCACAACTGGTAAAATAATACCTGTAAAAGGTGGAGAATAATTATTTTATCAACCACATTCACATACATAATTTTAAACATATATAAATATCAAACTAATAAATCTCTTAAGGCCCTCCTCCGTCAGTACAGTTGATGCTATTAATTTTTCTTGTAACATGTTACATTTGTTACTCCGCATGCACTCACTAGGTGTCAGGCTTGCAGCCTTTTTGAAAACCAGGCTCTTAGGCAACAAAGGAAGGATTAGTGGCTTTCTCATTCATCCTTCATCATTCTGAAGTCTTACATATCAGACTCCTAACCATGCAAAGTGCATTTGCACGGTTGTGTCTTTAGACCACTAAGGTTCTAATTTCTCCCCACATGGAAATTCTCTAATAACAATAAAAATACAAAATATTCACCAGCCCCAAAATAAATGTTCATCACTCATGTTTCAGGATCATTTTTTTAAACATATATTGCAAAACAAGGGAGATTTGAAATTCACTGACTAAAGTGATTATTTCTCTTTGAATATGGTAATCACAGAAAGGTGTGTAGGAGGTCCACAATTTAGTACCATTTCCACAATACCTCTGATGACCAGAAATACAAAAAGAAAGATTTATTTTAAAACTTAGGCAGTTTGTCTCCTTTTATTATTTCCCACCATCTGTTGTTTCCTGACAGGTGTTTTCCCACCAAACAGTAAGAATTTGTAAAATGAAATATTTATGTAAGAGGCACATTTTCTGGAAAATGTACATCAGGCCCAGTTTCTCTCTGTTTATAATTTTTCATGGCGCTATCCTGGCAGGTTTAAGTTTAACAAGCTAGCTTGGCGGCCTAAAGAAGGGTTCTCTGCCCTGCAATGTGGTAAATTCACTCATTAGCACTCCCTAAGATGACAGAGCACCGCATCAATTCAACAGCAACCTTCTCTCACTGATTCAATAGTATTATTGCCTAGATTCTAGAAGACCTGGTTCCCAGACCACCCGCCAGCTCTCTTAGGCTACATCTACACTGCACAGTTATTTTGGAATAAGCTATCTGTAATAGTTATTCTGATATAACTTATTTCGAAATAGCCCATCTACACTGCAAGGAAGACTCAAAATTAATCTGAGGCAGGCTTCCCTAATGTAGATGTGCTATCTCGAATTATAGGCCCAGAAGGAACAACTTACAATGGCCCAGGTGAGGGGCTGTTTCGAAACAGCAGAAGTGGAGCATCTACACAGCCTTATTCCGAAATAACTATTTCAGAATAGGTGTTACTCTTCATAGAATGAGGTTTACAGAAGTTGGAATGAGCTGCCCATTATTTCGCATTTATTTTGAAATAACGGAATTGCTATGTAGATGCTCACAATGTTATTTTGGAATAATAGCTATTATTCCAAAATAACTTTGCTATGTAGACACACCCTTAGAGGATTGCTGAGGAAACAACAGGTTCAGACTCTGGGGAAGAGCACTGGGGGAATACTTTGCATTATTAGTAGCACACTTTCTATCAGGCAGTATACACTTGCAGGGATACTACCTGGATCCAAAGGGAAGGCTGATTTAGATTAAAAAAAAGTTGGCCAGTTTAAAGGGCCTTCATGGTAGGGGGAAAAATGGGGGAGTAACATCTTCATGGCTCCACCCAGGATGAAGTTGATCCTTTTCAAAAAGTTTCTTGAGCGGAATTAAAATACCTGTACTGGATCTAAGTTGATGTATTAGAGAAAACTGAATTTTTATATAGCTGAAATAATATTAGAAAGGGCATTAGAAAGCAGGATGGCAGTAATACTGCCTCACAGAGATGTACGTGTGTTTCATCATATACAAGAAAAGGAGCAGCACCCTCATACCAACTGCTTGAAGACATTTGGAGAATACAACCAAGGACTGCACATGTTTACCCTGTGCCTTAACTGGCTCTTTCGGCATCTAATTAAAGAATTGTGAGAGGTGAGCAATTAAGTCATGCATTTCCTCATGTCTTCATTCAATGGAGCAACTGAGTTGAGGTTTTTCACTCACGTCATGCTGCCCTCGATCCCTGGGAATAATTGCATGACTCTGAGGTGAGAATCATGTTAGATCAGTGCTCATTGAGTCCTGCTGTTCTTTGAGTGAAGTCATACAACAGAGACAGTTCAATTGGTTTTATAATGGGGCCTGTGAACCAGGAAGGACTGGGATAAAGCTGTTAGTTTCATTTCTGATCACTCACCTAAAAGCAAAACCGTTTCTATCAGCAAATTCTAAAGATGGAGAGTGAAGAAACATATATACGCACCAGAATAATCCTCTTTTGTGATACTTCTACCAGTACTGCCAGCATCTATTAGAAAAGAAACTAATTATCACGCGGGTTAATTCATACTTTGTTTTGTAATAAGCACTCCCTACTTCCTTTCATACAGCCAGTTCTGAAATAGGAACATGGCTATCCCTCCCCACCACTGACACACATGTTCTACAGAACAGAGAAGGTATCTCAAACTTTTTGGGCTCCGGAGCCCTTTACATGCATAAAAATTTATAAGGCGCCCCAGCGATCCACTGATTGTATGTGTTGTACCTAACGATGTTTCCAGTTTGTCAACCTTGCGGAGTCCCTGGAGATGTCTTATGGAGCCCTGGGGCTCCACGGAGCACAGTTTGAGAAACGCTGAACTGACAAATTGCTTTGGTAACCTGGGCTCTGTGGTAGGGTGCATTCTACTTGAGGGGAATCTGCGGTGGATTAGAAGATACTCATCAAGTAGAAGGCTTTGCACTCTGTCTTGTGGGTGTTGCCTAGCATACAGCCCTGGGATCATCTATGTCACTCACCTAAAAGCAAAACCGTTTCTATCAGCAAATTCTAAAGACGGAGAGTGAAGAAACATATATACGCACCAGAATAATCCTCTTTTGTGAAATTTCCACCAGTACTGCCAGCATCTATTAGAAAAGAAACTAATTATCACGTGGGTTAATTCATACTTTGTTTTGTAATAAGCACTCCCTACTTCCTTTCATACAGCCAGTTCTGAAATAGGAACATGGCTATCCCTCCCCACCACTGACACATGTTTTAAAAAACAGAGAAAGTATCATTTTGGGCTGACAAATTGCTTTGGTAACCTGGGCTCTGTGGTGGGGAAATTCTACTTGAGAGGAATCTGTGGTGGATTAGGAGAAGATACTCATCAAGAATGAGGGATGTGCACTCTGTCTTGTGGGTGTTGCCTAGCATACAGCCCTGGGATCATCTATGTTCTCACTGACACACAGTGTGTCCTGTATACATTTTCAGTGTTCATAAGTTGCAGTACTGTTCAGTGTTACAGTACAGATCTTTCCTGCCATGCAATAAAAAAAATATGGGTGAAGATTAAACATGCATCCAAAAGAACAATCTGACTAAAAGTATCCACAGGCAGATGCCAATAATAAAGCAACAGGATGAAACTTCAGTACTTACTACTTTAGCCACTTTCTTGAGAAAGCAGAAGATGAATGCTTACCCTACTTTGTTTAGAGACAGAAATGGCTGGTTAATTTAATCAGCACTTGGAGTTCTGTAGGGATTTTCCAGGGACTGTCTTCTACCTTTGGGCACTAATCTGAGTCAGGTATCAATTACCCAGCTAGTTTATTACTTCACTGCAGAAAGGTTAAAGAAAAACAAAATCACTGCACTTAAAAGAAAAAGCAACTGCCTGTGCTTCCCTACTTACATTTCACAGCACACATGACTATGTTTTTTTCAGCAAGGAGGTTTGAGACCTGTGAATAACAAGACCTGCTACTGTGCAGCTAAAACTGTATGTGCAATTACTATAACTAAGCATACAAACTGGGCACATGGGCTGTGTAAGCAAAGTGTTAGATGCCTATTAATAATAAACTAATAGAAAGGCTTAGCATTTACATACTGATAGGCTGTGTCTACACTGGCATGAATTTCCGGAAATGATGAAAACGGAATACTATTCCATTTTTCAGTTTTTCCGGAAAAGGAGCATCTACATTGGCAGGCTGCTTTTCCAGAAAAGCCCTTTTTCCGGAAAAGCGTCTGTGGCCAATGTAGACGCGCTTTTCCAGAAAAGAGCCCCGATCGCCATTTTCGCGATCGGGGCTTTTTTCTGGAAAAGACTACTGGGCTGTCTACACTGGCCCTTTTCTGGAACAGTGTTCCGGAATAAGGACTTATGCCCGAGCGGGAGCAGAATAGTTTTTCCGAAATAGCGGGTCGTTGCTTTTCCGGAAATTCAAGGGCCAATGTAGACAGCTCGCAGCTTATTCTGGAAAAGCGGCTGATTTTCCGGAATAAGTGGCCCAGTGTAGACACAGCCATACAGTATAAGAAAGCTCTCATACAATATAGGGAAAAAAAAAAGATGTATTCAACAGAGCTAATAGCACACAGAGTCATAGAGCTGAAAGCCAGATTCATCTAACTGCTTGTATATCATAGGCCACAAATCCTACCCTCAGACTAAACTGAAATCCAAAAGTATATCAAAGAATTACACAGCTTATAGGAGACTAGCCTATTATGTGAAACAGAGTATACAGTAGTGGTATGTATAATACCTGCGATAGTTATTACTTATGTTATGGTAGCCTCCTAAAGGGCCCATTCAAGATGGAGTCCCAATGTACTACATACTATGCACAAACATATACACACATAATAATAGATTAGAGTCCCATTGTACTGTGCCCTTGCGCGCACGCATGCACACACACACATACACACACACACACACACAGAGTAACAGATAATCCTTATCCAAAAGTGCTTATAATCAAAATAGAGTGAGAAAAAGGAAGTACTCTTAGCTCCATTTTACAGACAGAAATTGAGGCACATATAGAGATTAAGTCACATTCCCAAAGTCAGAGGAAATCTGTGGCAGAGCCAGAAACTGAACTTACAGCTCCTGAGGCCCAGTCCAGTGCTTTAAAAGCCTAGACTAGC